TGTATATATATATATATGTTTTTATTTTAACCTCCTACCTCAGAGATTTAAGCCTTGAATTGTGCATTATAGACATGCTAACATGAAAAGCAGGACAAAATAATTGTACATGGATGCCTATTAAGACAAATGCATATTTGATGAGCATATAAATGAATGAATGACCTGTGCTCAGCCACATATTTGTAAAAATTCAGCACTAAAAGTAGTACATACTCTGATGAATCTCTCAAGAGCCACCGTTTGGTTCCCCACCTCCCCTGAACCATTCATTCACATACTCACTTAGTTACTTGCTCCTTCCTTCCTTCATTCCACAAACAGGCACCCTCTGACCCCTTGCTTCCTGCCCACCGTACAGGTCAGGCAGATTTACCAGGCACCCAGCTGCCCCCAGCATACCATCAGGGCAGTAGCAGCCGTCCACACAGGCAATCTCACTGTCCACACAGGACGTCCGGGGCTGGCAGGAAGCGGGGCAGCAGGCAATACATTCGTTGTAGGTAAAGGCCTTCTCTTTGCAGTGCACGGCTTGGGAGAGGGAGTGGCATGGCGTATCAGCTCCTTACTGCCCCATGCTCTGCCAACACCCACCAGCCCTACCCCAAGCCTGGGGGTGAGACTGGGAGGACTTTGCTTTACTGATACTTAGTCCCAACACTGGGAAACCAGGTCATTGGTGAGAGCCAGGCAGTCTCTGAGACTACCCTTATTTCATCTGTAGCCCTAAGACCAGCCCTCTCACTCTCACTCCCAAGGGGGTGGGACCTCAGGGCTTAAATCTAACAACTGTGGTCCTGAGCGGAACAGAACACTGTGGCCTGAGAATGCCACCCGCAGCCCTAGGACAGGGCTGGCGGAATCCCTCCCTGCCCACCATCAGACTGCACCTACCGCATTGCCAGAGCTGGGTCCTCCAGCCCTGCAGGGGCTGCCCTGCCTGAGCGCATGCACGGGCATACTCTGCCAGTGCCCGGCACCAGGTGGCTTCATCGCCCACTGATCTGCAGGGAAGCCAAGGGTCACAATGGAACAAGACCCAACCGGTCACCAGACCCCAGCACCCTCTAGAGACAGCCAGTACTCAGGGCACCCCTACTCTCCGCACTGGGAAGGAAGCCCGGGAAGGCATCTGGTATACAGAACCACAGACTGCGAGGGTGACTTCCAGTCCCAGCATTGCCACTGGCTTGTGTGACTTCAGTGGGGCCAGGCTCCATTTCTGGCCATTTCCGGTTGAGTGGGTAGCTCTGAACCACTAATGCAGATAAGAATTTCAGAGAGGCCGTGCCTGGTGGCACAACAGATTAAAGCATAGCACTATGAAGCAATCCACAGCTACTGCAGCATGAGTTCGATTCCCAGCCAGGAAGGTGATCCACATGGCTCAGCAAATCTCTCCTGACGCGCCTGCTGCTCCCCTCAGCAGTGTACTCTGTTGATCTGCCTGTTTTGCTCCCCACTCTGTCTCTGATGAAGCCTCTCACCCACTGCACCTCTGGCCTGTACCCCAGTCCTTGTATGCATAAATAAATAAATTTTTAAAAGGATTTCAGAACTCAGGCATTGGTCAGTGCCTGCAGATCATCCTGCTCAGTGACCCAGATAATAAGCCCCAATCCCAGTACCGAGACAGGTCTCTCCACAACCCAATACCACCCCAGCTCCTGGCCACCGACTCACTGGCAGAGATCACTGGTACAGCTGGCCGTGAAGGGCAGAGGGCTGACGTAGGCGTGGCAGGCATCAAATGGGGGCCGCAGCAGTACCTCACACCTCTCATACACACCCTGGGACAAGGGTCAGACCAGATCTGGGGGCAGGCAGAGCTGGGCACCACCCTCTGATTTCACCACCCCCACGTGGAACCCCAAATTAGGACTGAGGAAAAGGATTGTGGAGAGGACAGGAAACCAGAACATATGACCAGCCACCAGCCCCCTGCAGCCACGGATTTTCCAAGAGGCTGCCAGGAAACCAACCTAAGTCAGGCACTGGGCCGTGGGATCAGAAGGAGGAGGGGACTCTTGGGAGTCCTGACCTGCATGGTTCCTGGGCTTTGCTGCAGGCAAGGTGGGCGAGGTAGGGAGGAGGTCGTAGGCCCCAGAGGTTGATTGGGGGCCTGCTCCTGCCAGCTGTGCACGAACTCAGCCACATCATCTGTCAGCTTTCCTGCAGTGGAGAACTAGCATAAGCAGGGCCCTTCTTCTATCCAGAGTCACTATGATTTGGATCTGACTCCTTCACTTTATGTCTTACCTTCAGTTCCAGCAAGCGTCTTTCTCTTACTGGATCCCTTAGGTCGCCTGCTCCCAGCGCCCCCCCCCCCCAACCACCGCACACACACATACACAAAACCAACACACACACACACACATCTTGCAGGGCCAGTCTCACCTAGCCAGGTGCCCACTGGATCCTTCCACAAACCCTGTAGGAGTCTCATTACGACTATTGCATAGATATGGAGACAGGTCCAGCATGGTTAAGAACACACTTCAGGACACACCCTTGGTAAGAAGGGACCCCGGGCCTCCCACTGGGCCTCTAGTACCACAACTCTATAGTTGTATCAAAAATCCCCTCCCATCACTCCTAGCCTGACCTGTCCCTGCACCCCCACCCAACCTCCTTGGAGGCCACCCGCCCTGCCCCTCACCATAGCTGGTCACCAAGTCGTCCTGAGGATCGGCATTATTGTTCCCACACAGCCCATGGGTCCAGCCCAGGAACTCTGGGCTCATCTTGATGTAGATAGCCGAGGTGCCATCCCAGGCCAGCGTGAAGGCCGACTGATGCCGTACCATGACGTAGCCGGCCAGCCGCTGCAGACGCAGGCTTCCCACCACACGCGGCAGCTGGAGCCTGCAGATCACAGCCCAAAGCTTGGGGCCACCCACCTCCACCAGCCCAGGCCCTTCACAAAGGCCCCAGGTGTCAAGCACACAGCACCTGTCCCACCACATGGCCTTTGAGACCAGGGGTCTGAGGCCCTTCATCCCCTTTCCCTGACTTCTCAGGTGACTGTAAGTTCACCTTGAGAGTGGGGGCCCTTTTGTCTTCACTTTCACAATTCCAATTTGCCTCCCAAGCTGTCTTAATGACTGCATTTGCCAACTCCTTTCTTCTAGACAGGAGAGATAATAGAAGCAGGCATCTACTGTACTTTGGAGAGAGCAGTAAAGTAGCAGGAAGAATAAAAAGCAAGAGAGAGGAAAAGAATAGGGTAGAAAAGAAAGCCTTGGGGCTATAGCTGTCCTGACTCATTCCCAGCTTCACCAGGACAGGGTTTCCTGGCTAACCTGGAGCTTGGCAACTTTCAACCCAGCCAAAAATCAGTAAAGGAAAATAAAAGAATCTAATCAGCCCAAATGGGAACCAACACCTTGTTCATAGGAGAAAAACCTGCAGGCCTTCAATTTTACACTCGGCCCCAGAAAGCTTGGTCACTCAGTTTCCAGATCTGAAGGAGACGAGGAAGGAGGGAAAGGTGAGTGCAGGAAGCCCTCCCCAACAGCAGTGGGACGTGACAGTCAGCAGCAAGGGAAGGAAGACAGCAAGGGGGATTTCAGACAGGACACAGTCTGGTGGCATATGGTGTGGGAGCAGATTCCTCGCTCCTGGGGTGTTCCCCCAGGCATCTCTCAGGCCCAGGAAGACAATTAGCATTCAAGGACCATATGTCATCAGAAAAAGTATCTCCTCTAAGGAGGCTTAAACTGTGCATGATACAGTCAGGAAGATTCCTTCAAATTGTAAAAGGGAAAAATGAAGCCTGCTTAGAGTGGGAGTCTCAGTTATGTGGATAACTGCTGTTGTTCTGAAAACCCGCTGCCTGGGAACCCACAAGGCCGGAGGGTCTAGAACACCATGAAAGACACATCTTTCTACACGCTCCACTAGAAACCTGGCTTGTCAACCTGCCCCTGCCCTCACTGTGGAAACTCTGCTGTCTGCCTCCAGAAGACAATTTCCTCTCGGCTTGAGAAGGAGATATATTCACTCATTCCCCACTACCAGTGTAGGAAAGGGGATGTTCAGGGGAGAGGGTGTTCGCTTACAGCTCGCCTCCATGGGTGACCTCCTTGGCCAGATGAATCTCCTGCTCCCCCGTGAAGAAGAGGCTGACAGACCTGGAGCAGGTGTAGGGGAAGGAGCCGCACTGCGGGTCATTGTGCACCTGATTGGGGGTTCAGAGAAGAGCTCAGACCCTGAGCTTCAGACCTGGGCCCAGAGACACCCTGTTGCGGTTCTACTAATGTGACCCTCTGCAAGGTACTCTGCCAAGTACCTTTCCTCTGCAATCTTTCCCATCAACTTCCCTCTCCCACCATGTAGCCACAGAAAGTCAAGAGCTATGATTATCTGCATTGCAGAAAAGAGAACAACCATGAAGCTGAAGTTGAAGTGATAAAGTTCATATACACACAGAGCCAGGATACTAACCCAACTCAGGCTTCTTGCCAGTGCATCATGTTATCTTCCCTTTTCTGCAATTTTTGTTTATCCACCGGTTATTCCATCAGATTGAAAGCGAGGCTATACACTCATACTTATACACTCATACTCATCCCCATATCTCCAAGGCCACAAGCCCTAAACAGGAGAGGGAGATGGAGCTTCCCTGAAAGGCCTGCAAAGGTGTCTCAGTCAAATGTAGGAGCCCTCCCCATAAGCAGGCCTCTAACTAGATTATTGTTACATGTGGCTAAGTGGGGCTTGTGAACACCACTCCAGAGTCTAATTAGTTTTGAACTTATCTGATCGTGACCCACACTAAGAAGTTATACTGATAATAAAAATAATACTGATGTTTAGGAATGTACACTGCATTCTTACAAGATTTTCTGTTCTCTTTTTTTCTGTGCTGGTTGTGACTTAGGGTGATGTAATGACCAATAGATGTGTGGCATCCTATTAGCCTAAGTCAAACATAGCCATCATGAAATGACAGTCATGAAAAACTGATGTGTGGTCTCCAAGGCAGAGTGGGGAGAATCAATCAGGGTCCCCAGCACATCCAGGGAATGACTCCCAGGGCAACCAGTTGGCAGGTTTGAACCTGAGATAGAGGGGCATGCCTAGCTGACAGAGGGGTGACAATGAGCACTGGGATCACCCCACAATCCCCACCCTTTGAGTCAGTAGAGTTGGCTCCCAAGTAGACTTTTCTCCAGATGAAGTTGTATTCAGGTCCAGTATCCAATACATGAAGCAAATATGTAAACCAAATCTGCTCAATAGTGAGTCTCATGCACATCCACGTGCAAAAACAAACTTCCACCGAGCACCTACCCAGGTGCAGGGAACCCCAAACAAGCAGACAGGCTCATTGACCTGGGAAGCTTACATGTGGTAGAGCCCAGCCCTGAAACAGATCTGTATAAAATGAATGTGATCACAGTGATGTAAAACTTCTGTTACACAGAGAGGAGCTTCTATATCAGCTCAGGAGATCAGGGCATCCAGGAAGACTTCTTAGAGGAGGTGACCCTGAACTGAGTCACCTTGGACCTCTATCATTTTCCTTGAGGTACCAAGTTCTTTCTTATTTCAGATCCTAAGTGCACAAACTCCTTTTGCCTAGAATGTTCTCATACCCACCCTTCACTTGGTTCATTTGAATTCATTCTTCATCTCCCAATTTAATGTCACTTTCTCCAGGAAGCCCTACCTGACCTGCATGCAAGCAGTTAGCCTTCCATCTCATGCTATTCTAGCAACTGGCATTTCTCCTCTGTAGTACTCATTTGCATTTGAAATGATTCATTTGCTTTCATGTCTGCCTTCCTCAGACTATAAGCTCTGTAAGGACAGAACTTCCTCTGTTTACTTGTTCACAAGGCTACCACAAACCTGCGTCAGGAAGAGTGCAGGTGTACACTTAAATAAGACCTTGATGAATGTGTCACTAAATGAATGAATCGTCAGGGCAATCAGGAGTGGGAGCTCCCAGCTCCTTCTAAGTGCAGACTCCGTAGGTGAAATCTGGGAGTGGGAGGAAGGTGCCGATCTCTCTACCTGTGACAAGCAGAACCCAGCCCACCCCAGCCTCCAGGGCCCATAGGGTTGTCCTGAACAGACAGGCAGAAGAGGCCTCACCTGGACTGAGAAGGTCTGCCCCTCTGGTTTGTGGCGCCCCACCAGCGTGTAGCTGCCCTTCCCAGAGAGATAGTAGTAGAGGCCATCGAACGTCTCCACATGGTGCTGTCCCCATGTCCGGCAGATGCTGTCCCGCTCAGGACCAGCATTGAACACTGGGCCAGAAAAAGAAAACCTCTGAGTAGCCGCAGTGAGCACCAAGCCAGGGGTTGGTGGTTTCAACCCTGGAGGAGCCACCCCATCTCTTCCCAGCCCAGGCCCCCATAAGCCCACAGCTTTCCCTGTGCCCACAGCTCCTCTTGGGGCGGGATAGTGCCCAGACCCACCCATCTGGCAGCGTGGCCCAGTGGCGTTGAAGCGCCTGCAGTCACAGTAGGCCGGGTGCACACATTCTCCCCCATTGAAGCAAGAAAACAAATCTGCAAAGGAGATATAAAAGGTACTTCAATTTAGCCCAGGTTGACAGAACCCAGTGATGTAGCACCTTCCTCAGCTGGGGCCTGGAAAAACTCAGATCCCCATCACAGACACCTCCTGGGTTCCTTAGTAGCTAACCTTAAGGGGGACATGACCAGGTATCTCAGACTGCTGCCTGTCACCTTCCTAGCAGGCAGGTGGGAAGGGAGTACCTGTCTTTAATATGTACCAAGTGACCCTCATGTGAGCCTCACCCACCTAGACTTTTGACTCCCTGAGTTTAAAATTCCTGACCTCCAGGCAAGACCAGCAGAACTGAGAATATGGAGCATGAGAACATGGAGCAATGGGCAAGCAGGGAGACTGTAGGAGATCTCTTCCTCACTGCCCACCAAGTGGAGGGGAAGAGGCCAAAACATAAGCTACAGGGAAGGGGAGTGAGAGAAAGGCCACAGAAAACAAGAAGGCAAAGCAGGAAGGAGTGTGGTGAGGGGAGGAGCCATGATGTGAGAGGAGGGCCATGGACATGGGAGAGGCCATAGACACAGGGCAGTGAGGGGAAAGTGGCCACAGGAGGTCCACAGAGGAAACCCCTTTGCTGTCACAGGCCTCTGGAGGCCACATGCCCACAGGCCACACGGAGGAGACCACTTACAAGATGGTGCACATTTGGCCCGATGGAGCCGCCTTTCCCAGGAAGACATGGCCAAGAGGTCCGGGGCTTCAGCCACCTTTTAAAAACAGGAGAAGAAACAGACATGCTGTGACCTGAGGGAAGACACAGACCTTTCCGTCTGGTACCTCAAGGGTGGGGGATAGGGCGGTTCCCTTTGCCCTTGGTCATGTCAGCTTCACAGGCTCACCTGAGGGGACTAGGAGAGTAAGGATTCCAGGCTTGTTCTACGCCCAGGAGTGAAGATCTACTTTTTATCCTCCCAACTGGCTGTCTCCATGGCAGGTTGGGGAGGCCTATAACCTGAACATATTTGTTTCCCTTCACCCTCCTCCCACCTCTCCTCCCTCTTCCCCTCCCCAATGAACCTTTGTGTCTTCCACAGAGGACACAAAACCCCCTTGTCTGGAGAACAAACATGGCTCCTCCTCACCACAGAAACCATTTGAGGCTGAGCTGAGAAACAAAAGCAGCCGCTTACCCCAGGGCAGAGAGTCTCACCTTACCCCCACCCCAACCTTCCTTTTGGGCTCTTCTAACAGTGCCTCACAGATCACCACCCCCTGCCCTCAGACTCCAAGGCAGAACTCTCAGATGCCACAAATCTGAGGAGGACACAGGCAACGCGTCACTAAGACATTTATGTTCCAGACCAGAATTCTCAACACTGGGGTCTTGGGGATAAATTACCTGAAATTAGGACTGTCCTGAACACCATGTGTGTTCAGTCGTCACCCCTTGGCTGGCTGACTAGGACCCCCAAACTTTCCAACTCCAGTGTGAGGAATGGGATGTCACAGCTCCAGTGTGAGGCCCTGGACACCGAATGCTTCTCCCTCTAGTAACTGCAGTCTCCTCCTTTGTCCAACTTCCCAGGGCCTGTGCCCACCCTGGGCCGGATTCCATGACCAGGACAAAGCTTCTATCCTCACGCAGCTCACAGAGTCAACAAGTCCCAAACCACACTGTGGGCACTTGTCTCACATGTCTTCCCTTCTGGTCAGCTCTGCATCTCTGTGCCTAAGCCCCAGCCCTTGGTGAGTGGCGTGGCTCCATCTCATTCCTCCTTACATGACCACGGATCAGTGTGTTCATGCCTTCGGCTCCTGGGTCCTAGGTCCTCCCTCATTCTCTTTACTTTGCAGAACCAGGCTAACCCCAGGCATCAGGCTTCCCACCCTGGTTGTAATCGATCACATGGAGCCTAAGAGACAGACATAGGACAAAGTTGCCAGGGAAACAGTCACCACCAACATCCCATAGGCCCCTCTCAAACTGAGCCTCTGTGAGTCTCCACTCCTTGTCCCCACCTCAGATGTGGCCTCTGAGACAGGGATTAAAAGTATGATTGCTTGTGTTATAAAGAGTTGAGGCCAGTTTTGTGGAAACAAATTCGAAAGCCTATCCAGATGACTAGTCTTCAGTATAGATTAGGAGATGGTAATCATATTTACACCTTTGACAACCATTTGAATCCCTTTAACAGTCTAGTGAAGCCTATGGACCCCATCTCAGAATATTTTAAAATATACTAACCACAAACAAAGATGACAGAGGAAATAAACTGCATGGCTGTGTAGTTATGATAGCATTTTATTAAAAAATGTGATTCAGTGGGCCCTCCCTGTGGCGCAGC